GCTCTCTTTGTAACAAGTGGAAAGATAAACTGCCTGACAGCTGCCTCAAGGTGTGGCTTTTTAGTTTTATTTTCAGAATGGAGACCTTTGGAGTTTTATTCATAGTTTCCACACCTCAGGACAGGGCTTTCATTAAGATCATTGAACACGGGCCCTGTATTGCTGTTTCTTTGCATTGCAAGGGTAAAGTCAGAACCATTTCCATAAAATAATGTGTACAGATGAATAACCAATATATAGCATGTCTAATGTATGTTGTATTACCATGTGCTTAATGGTGAGGATAGTATGGCTAAACTTCTGCATGGTGTCTGGGGGAAATGAACTACTACATATTTGCTCCCTATTCGTTCTTCCTGCTCTGCTGCTCCTTTTCCCAGTTCTTCGTACCTTACTCGGTCACAAAGCGAATATCTGCAGCCTTGATTTCCATCCTTTCGGAAGCTTTGTGGCATCTGGCTCTTTGGACACAAACATTAAGGTAAGACCCAGCTTCTCTTAGAGATTGCCCTCTTTACTTGCAATATCTTTGTTTTGAAGAATGCCAGAACATGTTTTGTGCCAAGCTGTTGGTAGATGCTGTACATCATCATTTCCATGTGTGTGGGCAGGTGTATTTGTGAGTGCTTGTGAAATTCGTACATGTGGTAGCTCATGAGTGTGATTTCTCTGTTGTGGAATGTGGCTCCAAGTAAGGTGCCAGCTGAGACCTGGTGTCAGCAAGCGCAGATGTCCTGATTGCTGTGGATTGCATCTCCCTCATCAGACTGGTATTTGACCGTAGGAACTGAGCTTCTGTAGTAAGAAATACTTTACAGAAGTGATTCTCACTTGGGGAGTTAGGTTAGGAAATACCCCTGAAGCAAACAGGGGTTCACCAGCCTGTTCAGTGTTTTCGTTCTGCAGTGTCTATCTGCTTGGTGACAGGGAGAGCCCTTGTTCTGAAGGGACCCTTGGGCTCCCCACATACTGCTCTAAGCATATCTTTTGTTTGCTTTTCTTCCCTGTAGCTCTGGGATGTGAGAAGAAAAGGCTGTGTCTTCAGGTACAAGGTAAAATGCTTCATTAGTTTTCAGGCGAAGATGGGAGAAAGATTTCTGTTGAGAACTTGTGAGCAAACCTTGAAGTGATTATGTACAATTAACTTCCTAGTTTTCCAGTATGAAAATAAGATCTGCACAATTTGTGAAGTGGCCTGGCAAACCTCCGCAGGCCTCTGTGAACTGTATGGGAATATGAAATGGATATCATAGGAGTTCATGTACTGTAGTCTGGTTGGCTTCAGTGGGGGATGGAGAGCATCCATGAGTTTCTTTATACTGTGACTGATATTACCATGCAAGTCCCCACTGCAATAAGATGGTTCTATTCTTGGGGCCTTTTTCTACCCAAAGAACTTGATGTATATTAATTTCATTTAGAAACCAACTTAATGGCCCAGCACTTCTATCTGACCACCCGTAAATCTGTGTAATTTAAATTTGATTCTTATTAATTAAGCCAGATCTGTATTTACATACTAAACTGATGCCAGAAGTGTCTAGATAAGAGATTACATGCCTTTAGTGTGGATGGGTGTAGCTCTTGAGTGTGTTTAGTGTTCTGTGAGCTGTTGACTCTGTGAAACAGTTACTGATTTTATTTTTTTATATTTTATAGGATTGAAAGACAAAAGCCAGAATTCCCTCTAAAGGAAGGGGGGAAAAAAAAAAGAGAAAATACTATTTGTTTTTTTCATTTCAGGGTCACACAGAAGCAGTTCGATGTCTCCGCTTTAGTCCTGATGGGAAATGGTTAGCCTCTGCTGCTGATGATCACAGTGTAAAGGTAATTTACTGTGACACTCTCCTTATGTGCTCGTGGCACATAGGAATGCTGGGATCGTCTTTTTCCCAGGCATTAACAGCACTTGCTCATAAACACCTTTAGTTCATTAGGCAGCTGGCTGAGCCCTGTGGCTTTGCAGGGACCAGCTTGTTTATAAGGATCATGTCCAGTGGCCCACAACATCCAGAAAAGAGCTGCATGTGTTGAAATGCACTTATCCAACAGACATGTTGGCGCTATGCATATGAAAGCTCAAGTTTTGATGGTGGTAGAGTTGTGATACCTGAACATTGGCCTCGGTCGTCTCAGTAAATGTTACAGAATGAGTTGTCCACAGCATGTTGTTTCACCATACCGGTTTCTGGTTCTGCTCAGTTAATTCACTAGGAGTGTGTTATTATGCACATTGCACATGATTATCAGTCTGAAAATTGCTGTCAGGACTGAGCAGAGCAAAGAAGGAATTCGGAAAAGTATTGACTGAAGCAGTGACTTCAGTTGTTTCAGATGTGGTATGGAGGAATGTGGGCAAAGGACTGATTTTTTTTCAGCTTCACATGAAATAAACTGACCAGTCATTTCGCTCTGGATTTTTCAGTGGAGACTAGAGCACAGGAAGAATGAATTGCTAAGGGATTCAGAGCTTTTGCATTTTTGTTTGTTTGCTTTTAAGATATAATCTGTGGGGACAGGTGGAACTGCTGTATTTTATCCTAGTCTCTAAATATAAACCAGAAACTTATAGGGGACAAATTAAATGGAAAATTTAAAAGAAAATGCAAAAAAAAAAAAAAAATGATCCTTCCCTGATCATTGCTTTCTTTGACAAACTTGAGTCTGTTCTTAGAGGGGGAGAAGCGTTAGAAGGTTGCCAGTACAAGGAAATCTGAAGTGTATTGGGATTCTCTAACACTAAATCTTTTCAAGAGTCTCTGTTCTTCTTCCAGCTGTGGGATCTGGCTGCTGGGAAGATAATGTTTGAGTTTACAGGACATACGGGCCCAGTAAACGTTGTTGAATTCCATCCCAACGAATACCTTTTGGCTTCCGGCAGCTCTGACAGGTACATAAGGGGAGAGAGAAAGAAGGGAATTGTACATGCTGATTCCCTTTCCCGATGCCTTTCCTTTTAGGAATGTGGAAAACAGGAATGTCACACAACTCAAACCTGCCATTGCCTGACATCTAGCCAGCAGATGTGATGTGCAGAACATGGAGATCTTGCCTTCTCATCCAAAATTTATGGCACCTTCTACCACACTAGAAAACAATGCGATAGCCTCAAGCATCTAACTGACATCCTATCTGAACTGCAAGCAGTCCCGCTCAGCTAGCGGGGTGTCCTCTTAGCTCTGGGTCAGCTCTAAATACCTATCTGTATCTAGAGCCTCTAAGCATCTGTGGCTGGATTCACAGATCTTAGCTAGACTGGCCTTCTATGTAGGTTCATCATAGGTGCACAACAGCGAAAGTCATTCCAGCTATTACCATATTATTTCAATACTGGATCCTACAGCAGATTTCTAGAGGGATGAGTGATGATTCTTGTTCTGTTGTGTGTACAGGACTGTTCGGTTCTGGGACTTGGAGAAGTTTCAAGTTGTGAGCTGTATTGAAGAGGAGGCTACCCCTGTCAGGTATATTAAATGGCTACTGCAGTGTACTAGGCAGAGACTAAAGTGGGGGTGAAGGGAGGATTTCCTGAAAGAGACTTTACTGGGGAGAAGTTTGGGCTGCTGGAGATGTTTCACAAGCCCACCAGGTTGCACAGGTGAACACCAGATCGGTAAGTTCATTGTTAGAAATGGGGCTGGAGGTGTTCAGTGAAGTCAGGGATATACAGCCTTGGGGTCCTTGTGGGACGGAGCAAGGTTGGGAAGCTGTGCCTAATTCTCCAACTGCCTTCCTCCCAGATGTGTGCTCTTCAACCCAGATGGCTGCTGCTTGTATAGTGGCTTCCAGGATTCACTGCGTGTGTACGGCTGGGAGCCTGAGCGCTGTTTTGATGTGGTCTTGGTGAACTGGGGAAAAGTAGCTGACTTATCTATCTGCAACAACCAGCTGGTAAGCCACTGCTCCGGAGGAGTGGGGGAGGCAGCTGTGAAACATGAGATAAAATCCCCCTGCCTCCTTGCAGGCCTTCTGACCTTTAAGCTTATGTCTGACTATAAGTCGCCAGGGCTTGCAATGCACCCGGTACTTAGACAGAGCTTGTGTGCTTTTGCTTTCAGCAGCCTCCTGCTCCACTTTGTCTCTCTTTGGCTTCTGGAGGAAAGAACTGGGGCTTGGTTTGACCAGTACTTAGAAACTATGCTTGGCAAAAGTTTTATCATAGCCTTTCATAAAACCTTGGGATCTCCAAATTAAAAAAGCTAAAGCACTGAACTGAGAAATTCTCAAGAACGGTCACTCAAGGTCACTCTATCATGCCTGTTCTCAAAAAGCTGGCGTGCATCCTGCTCCCTGGTGAATTACCTTGATCTTTTGCCTCTGCAGATAGGAGTTTCCTTTGCGCAAAGCACAGTCTCTTCCTTCGTTGTGGATCTCAGCAGAGTCACAAAGTCGGGTTCCATTCCTCATGGGCTGATCAGGGACGACGAGCCTCTTGTGCCACCTACCCCCACAGGGTCCTCCCTTCGCCGCATCTATGACAGGCCCTCAACTAGCTGCAGCAAACCGCAAAGGTAAGGGAATCTGCTGGCTTGTTGAATTTCAAGATTTTAAGGAAATGTACAAGGAGATCAGTGCTCTTGCTCTCTCTGATGGAGTCCATATGACTTGTCCTTGACAGCATCTCTTTTTCCACAGCAGAGTGAAGCACAACTCGGAGAGCGAGAGGCGCAGTCCCAGCAGTGAAGATGACCGGGATGAGAAGGAATCAAAGGCTGAGATCCAGAACCCAGAGGATTACAAAGAGATCTTCCAGCCCAAGAACGCTATCTGTCAGTACCAGGGTTTATTGTGCTTTTGAGTGTTGTTTGGATTAGAGCTGTAGGCGTTAAACTGGTTCAGCATATAATAGAGGCTTCGCCTGTGACTGGGAGAGTTTAGAAAACTTTAATATTCTGTGCTTGGACTCTGAACCACAGATCGTGTTGGTGAACTGCTGGAAGGTGGCGCCTTTACTAGGGTGCAGTGATGTCTGGTCAAAGCCTGACTCAGAATCCAGAGCTCCACTCTAAGCATGCTGCCTTCCTGTCCTGATTAGAAAGGACTACTGTGTTATGGGATCTTTATTAACTTTAGAATTTTGATATGTATAAAATTAGCAGTCTCCATTAAAGAAGGAAAGGCAAAATGTTTTTTTAAAACAGAGATTGTTGTTTAGGAGGCATAGTGCAATGCCTGTATCTCATTTTTATGTAAATGAGAAAAATGAGATACTCTTTCTAAGGAATTAATGGTCATTATTTTGATTTACTTCTGTAAATCAATTTAGCAGGAGGTGAATTTTTTTCTGATATAATTTGTTGTGACAGTGCCTTTTCTTGTGCTTCACATCTCTACAGCAATGAACTACACGGGTCAGTTTTGTCCCTCCCATCCATGAAGGCTGAAAGCCTTTGGCTAAACTCAACAATAGCATCAAGGGCTGAAGGAGATAACTCTGCTTGCCATATCATTGATTGCCCTAATCTGTGGAGTTGTTGGAGATCTCCCAGCTCCAAGGTTGACCTATCACTAATCTGTAGCCTTGAATGCTCCTTTGTTTGTTTATTTTTTTCTCTCTTTCTGTAGGTCGAACTCCTCCTCGAAACAACGAGCCCTTTCCAGCCCCTCCTGAGGATGGTGAGTATGAAAATGATCCCTTGGTGGGAATGGGGTTAATGGCCTTCAAAAGAGGGAGAGCTGCATGTCTGCAGAAAAGACTACTTGTAGTCTAGCTATACAGAACCTTTGCTCACAGCTTCCCTTGAAAGGAATAATTGGTTTCTGTGTTCCCACTTCTTTCCATCTTGGTAGAGCCCATAACTGCAAAGGAAGCATTGAAATCCAGCCAAGCTGTGGATGTCCAGACCCCGTTGCCAAAGCAAGAACTTGTATGTACTGTATGATCTGTTAATAGCTGTGAAAGATATGTGAGTGCTGGAGACATTACGATTTCTAACGAAGCTGATTGAAGCTGCACTTTTACTGCTCTTCAGTAAAGCAGTCTTTGCCCTGCTGTGTGTCTTGCCTGAGCAGTAGAATTGAAGACCAAGCCTCCAACAGGCAATGGCTCTATTGCTTTTGTTCACTTCTTGCACTTGCAGTGGTGTTTCTCCTTGGATCTCAAAACTAGGGCACTCTAAGAGAATCAAGTACCAGATTTCTGCAAGCGCTTAACCTGAGGCTATTTTGTAGCCAAAATCACAAGCAGCTGATGGGCCAGGATACATTATACTGGCTTCTTAAGAATTCTCTCTTCGCCTTCAGGCTGGCCACGGGCCCATTGCCCTAATTTTAGATGCTGATAATGACAGCACTTGGCAGTTCTTTTGGGGCATCTCTGTTTTCTTTGCAAACCTTAATTGCATCTTGGCGTATACCTGAGAGATACTTTATTGCCTCTTAAACCATGCTAGCAAATTGGAGACTGCTTCTGCATTAGGACCCTGCTGTGAGAGGAAAGTGGGTCAGGAAAAAAGGACATCAGGCTAGGGCCAGATTGTTGCTGCTAGAGCTTTTATCCCAATTTCTCCTGCAGCCTGATCCTGTTCAGAGGCCACCTATTGCCTCCTCAACTCCTTTGACAAGAACAGAGCCGTCAGTGATTCCTGCAGCCAGGAATGAGCCCATTGGCTTGAAGGCCTCTGACTTTCTACCAGTAAGTGTCTCTGGACAAAAGTTTCCAGACACTGTCTGTGTTGGGTGGCATCAGAAAGGGGATTCTCTGAGGTGCAGAAGACTGTCTTACATGGTTTCTGCAACCTGCAGTCCTCAGTACTGAATGAGAACATGTTACCTCCTGCTCTCCCTCTGCTCGCTTGGTGCTTCCCATCTGCTTTGACTGTGGAATTAGCACCTGGACCCAGCCCCCATTGCAGATGACAGCAGGCTGATGTGAACACAGCAGTGTTGATCCATGCTCACGAAGAATGTATTATCAAAGCAGAGAGCAAGGGATGAGACAGACACTGAACAATTCCACATGCTAGACAGTGATTCATTTAGAAAATTGGTGTCTGCCATTACACATAAATAATTATTTCCAGATTTTCCCTATTGTCTCTTGGAGGTCTCTTGGCCTTGCTCAGGAGGGTATTCCTTGTCCCAAAAAGGGAGAAGGACCAGAGCATCCTCATGATCCCAAACTCTAAATGTGAGCAGGGGAAGAGAGATTCCAGCATGGTGTGGGTGGGAATCAAATTGAGAGTCTAATAAATTGTGCAAGATTTATGCTTTGTAATAAAATTTGTTGATTTCAGATGAACATTTCATGTAAAAAACCAGGGTTTGTATGAAAACACTTCTTCATCAAAACATACTGGTTTTGAAACCTTACTTTTAATTCACTTTTTTCAATTTTGAGTTTTTCCAAAGCTTCAAACATGTTTGTGATTGGCACAGTAGAAGAGGCAAAAGGGAAGTAGCTGAAATTGGAACAAATTGAATGCTTCCATTTCAAAATGTTTATAAAACAATCTGCAAGGAAGTCAGTGTTTCCTGTCCCTTTGTACACCAAAATTAGCTCTCACCTAGGCCAGAGAAAGCTCCTACCCTTCTGTGCCATCCTGCTCTGTTATCGCTCCTCCATTGGTGTCTGTACTTTCAGGCTGTGAAAAACCAAAGCCAGACTGAGCTTGTGGATGAGGAAGCCATGTCCCAGATAAGGAAAGGCCACGAGACCATGTGTGTGGTACTCACTAGCCGTCACAAGAATCTGGATACTGTGCGGGCTGTATGGAGCATCGGTGACATCAAGGCAAGGATGTGGAGATACCTAAGGCTCATGAGGGGAGCAAATGAACAGCTCTTTTGGCTTGTCTGGGGCTGATTGTGCCTCTTACACAAAATGTAGGGTCTCACAGCTTTTGTCCCCAGGGGTGCACCACAGAGTGCTGCTGTGTCCCACCTATGCTTGAATGGTCACAAAAAAACATGGAGAAAACTTTCTCACACAAGACTTAATCTTTTCTTCCCTAGCCAACTCCACGTTTCCTCTACCTTATTTTTGAAAAGTGGCACTTGATATCAATTGCTTTAGTCTAGCCAGTTTGAGCTTTACAATAGACAACTTCTTCCCCTTCTCTCTCAGAACTCTGTGGACTCTGCAGTGGCAATCAACGATCTGTCTGTTGTCGTGGACCTCTTGAATATTGTCAACCAAAAAGCGTGAGTCCTGGGTGGGGGCAGCCCCTGGGATACCTGAGAGCCACCTGGCTGAGCGTTGGGAGTGCTGCATTCTACCTGCCTTGTGTCCAGTGGGCCATGGCAGCATGAAATGCATGTCCTTGTAGTCAGATCTTCAAGTCTGCAGTGCCAGTAACTGCTGGAGTTGTATGGGGCCTTTTCTGTAGGCAAATGATGTCTCACAAGGCAAATCAAAGTCTTAGGGCTTCATAAAGTGATTCTGCTGTCAGAACCTGCCACTTTCTATCACAAGGGGGAGTCGGTGAACTTGCCCAGTAAACTTGAGTGCTGCTGCCTGGGCTTTTTTGCCAGAAAGCATGTGTCGACTCAGCCTTGTCTCTGCTCTCAGAATCTGTCCTTTTCTTTTCAGGTCTCTCTGGAAGCTGGATTTGTGTACTATAGTCCTGCCGCAGATAGAGAAGCTACTCCAAAGTAAATACGAAAGGTGAGGCCCCAAGAACATGGTGTGCTTGGGGGACAAGATGTGGGTATTCATAGGAGAGCTCCACTGGGTATTTTGTAGCTGAAAGAAAGTTCTGAAAAATCACAACAGATACAGTATAATGCTGATACGATGCCTGGAAAAGAGCAATGGGGTTGCCAAGCGTGTGTGGGAAAAGATGTGGAAAGTATGCATGGGCAAGAAGAGCAGGATATTGAGATTTAGCGTAGGTGTGTTGGACTGAAGGCAGCTCTGGCAGCCAGGATCAATGTAGAACAAGTGGGCTCTGCGGACTGATGGGAATGAAACTGTTGACTTGGGACAAGGAGAATGAAGTCCTGCAACAGCCTTGGGGTCACTTGGAAGATTGCTTTGAACCTCATCATTAGGTGGCAAAAAAATGCAGCCTCTCTCTTAAGACGGAGTTTCTGCCCTTTCTTCCTACTGGAAGAGAGGCTCCTGCCAAGTCCCCTCAGCAGGCCATCTCTGCTCTTGAGCAAAAAGGTCCCCCTTAGCAGGGTATATGCCAGGACCTTTTGAAAGGGCACACTTTGTCAGTCTTGACTTGAACCAAGACCATGTTGGTACTTGGCTGTTGCTCTCCTTATCGGATTACAGGTGGTGGAGGGGGGTCATTTGAGTAGATTATCCCCAGTGACTGGTTGTGAGGGAGGGCTTTGTGCTGGGAGGAAAGGAATGAAATTCAAGTGGGACCTGATTCTGTTTGTCTTTCAGTTATGTGCAGACTGGTTGCACCTCCCTGAAACTCATTCTCCAGAGATTCCTGCCACTGATCACAGACATCCTTGCTGCACCACCTTCTGTTGGAGTGGATATCACCAGAGAGGAAAGGTGAGGCACTTACCTCCACTTGCTCCCTTTTGGAATCAGCCTTTCTCTTGGGTGAGCTTTGCTCCTCGCCATTGAGGCTTTGGTACTAGACTGGGCTTGCCTTCCCTTTTGTCTGCAAACATCAAACCCTCCTGCTCTGAGAAAAAGACCAAGGACTGCTTTTCCTTCTGTCACTGTGACTGAGTAGTCATACCTAAACAAAGTTTGAGTATGTCAGGAGTAAAACCACCCTGTGGCTACACCCTCTACCTCACAAGACACACTTGATTTGTCAGCTGGGCCCTGGATTTCCAGTTCACTCACAGGATATCTCTGCTCTGAGAATTGGCACTCCAAAAACCAGCACCTCCTTTCTCCCTGGACTTTACTGCCAAAGGAGAAAAGAGGAGTGAAAGAGCCCTTATGTGGATGCCATTCTCCTGTGTCATCAGGACGCTGGCTGAATAGGTGGTGTTTCTGCTGAGCCATGCTCACATTTCAGCCCCTTCCAGGGCATTTGCAGGACTTGTGTTTTCTCTCCTGCTTGAGTTGCATCTTTGGCACTACAGGAACAAACAGGTCTCTTAAGCAGCTGAGGATTCATGCTGTGTCTACTGTCTATTTTTTGCAGGCTCCATAAGTGCAAGCTGTGCTACAAGCAGCTGAAAAACATTAGCAACATCGTCAAGAACAAGTCTGGGCTCAGTGGCCGTCATGGTAGTGCCTTTCGGGAACTGCATCTCCTCATGGCTGTCCTGGAGTGACAGCCGCCACCTCCTCATGTGCAAACACAGGTGGCCAAGCTCCTCTATGCTGTTTAATCCATCTGGCTGGATTTCACCTCTCTCCGTGTGTCCATCTTCCCCCCACAGCACAGTAGGGAAGTGGAGTCTCGCTGGCTGGTTGCCTGCCCAGCCCCAGTGCCTTATGGGCTGGATGGAGGACCTGAGTGGAGAGATGCCTGTGCTGTGTGAGAGGACCTGGCTGGTGGAGGGTCCCACAAAGCCCCTGTAGGGAAGCAGCTTCATTTCAGCTCTTCATCTCAGCATCAAGCTTTCAGCTGCTCTGTCTCTGTGTGCTGGCCTTTCCCTGATGGGAGGGCTCTGAACCTGCTGTCACCCCTCCTTCACCTGTGTATGCTGTTGGTTCTTGTCGCTTGGCTCTGTGGGCTGGGGCCGGCTGGCCCCGCTCTCTCTGTGCAGCATGCTGAGGACTGCGGTGTCTGCCCCACAAAAATCCTGCAGAAGGGACTTCAACTGCCATGTGGGACTGGCCCCTTTGGCTTGCTTCATCAAACATGAGCCAGGGCACCGTGCCACCGTGCCTGGTGTAGTCTCAAGGACCTGTATTGAGAGGAGGCTGTCTCTTGGCTTCTCAAAAATCCCTGCTGGCACCCTGGGCCACAGATTAATGTCTTCAGACTTGCTGGGAACTGATGTCTGCCTGGATCTGTTAAAATATGTGACTCAAACAGGACTTGTTGTATGTGTTTGCCTTTGGGGGTAAGGATGTGGGAGGGTGGAGGAACAGAGGGACATGGACTAATGTCTTTCTACATCACTGGTCCACTCTTAAAGGGTTGTGGTTCCCCCCCCCAATAAATGTTTTTCAGAACCTTTCTGTCCCTCTTTCTTCTTTCCTGTGGGGAAAGATGTTCCTGTTGGTGCTTCCCCTGCTCCTCCCAGCCTGTCTCCCATTTTATACACTGGAGCCTGTTCTCCGGGAAACTGTAACTTATAATGAATTTTATTAAAAGATTTGTAACTTTTTAAAAAAAAAGTTGTGTTAAATGCCTGAATCTCTTGAAGTACTGTTCACCTTGGCACAGCTCCTGGCTGGGAGCATCCAGGGAAAGCAGGGCTTTGTTCCCTGCATGGGCCATGGGGAAGCCAGCTGTTCTCACCCTTCCTGCTGGGAGGCTGCTGTGAGTAAGTGGATGTGGTGAGCAAGTTGGAGAGAGCACTAGCCAGGTGGCTTGCTGAAACCCTGGGGGAGGTTTCACTCTGCTGGGTTGTTCCCAGCCCAAAGAGCAACGTCATCGTTTGTGGCTTGTCCCTTCCCTGGCCTGATGTAGTTCTCTCTTACCCACTTGATCTCTAGCAGGTCTTGACATAGTGGCACACAGATGTGCAGTGGTTTTCTGTGAGCTCTTGAGCTAGGCACTGGTGTTGGAGATATAGGAGACTTTCAGGTGTGGCCAGCAGGAAAGCTAAAGCTATCCCTATCTTGCTGATGCTTCATCCAAATACAGTCAAGTTTTAGGAAGAAAGGGGAGAGCCCTGCTCTGCTCTATGGCTCTGGAGGAGGTGGCTCACACAGCAAGAGGCCCTACAATGTGCCATCGCAGGACGGCATGACCAGGGCTGAAGATGCTGCCTGCTTTGAGCACCAGGGAACTCATGGTGTGTGTCTTGCCTGCACTGCAGCCACTTGCTGCCTCACCCAGGGGCTCTCTGCAGCTAATCCCATGCCTGGACCCGACCGAAGCATGAAAGGGCTCTGCCAGCCTCCAGCCCTGAGCAACCCACAGAGCTGGGAGAAGCATGAGATGGACCAGTTCTGGGGCTTACTTATGGTTTAACAACTCAATCTCCTGCTAATTAAGGGAGCCTGATAGCTGCTGTCTGGGGGGCTGCCCTGCCAGGCTGGCCCAGAGACATCTGCAAGAAGAGGGATTTAAGGGGCTTTTCCAGCCGCAGGGGAGATGCTGCACAAGTGGTGTGGGAGGGAGCACCTGCCCTGAGCGGGGCTCAAACCTGCTGCAAAGAAATAACAGCAGTGCAGAAGGACTGGCTTTAACAGTTTATTTAAAATAGGTTTTGTTACAAAACAGGATTTTTTTGTTTTGGTTATTAAAATACATAGAAACATCTAATCTTACAAAAGGCTAAATTTATTCTTCCCTTTTTTTTTTTTTTTTCCAAACAGAATACGCTGTGGAAGCGTGAGAGGAGAGGGTTGCGGTGGGAAGGAGCCATCAGTGCATCCAGTGGGTTATTTGCAGCAGGAGGAAGCATACCCACGGCTGGGTGCTCAGAGGTGCAGGGGGTAGTGCTGTCTTCTCTGACCCCCTGCCAGCTGCTGTCCTGATACATAAGCCAACAGGCTTTTGGGCTCGAGGTTTGGGGGTTTTTTGTTTGTTTTCTACTTGTTTTCCAGTCCCAGACCATGTAAACAGGCTATAAATATTTCAAACACTTTCATCTCGACCACACTGTGATCTCTCTTGACAAGACAACTGGTAAATAACTTTACAGTAGCTTCATTTGAGACCGCTAAATCCACCTTGGTGCTGCGTAACACAGGCAGCCCCGCAACCGCGTGGGTCCCTGGCAGCACCGGCAGCTTGGCTCATGCGTGGCACTGGGGCGCCTTCATGCAACTACAGGGCTTGAGAAACCTACGGGGAAAGGAGCTGCTGGGATTTTTTCTGGCTTAAAATGGAGGAAGCACTGCTTCAAAAGACATCGGGCAGCTGCCTGGGCGCAGTCTTGGGGGAGCTGCGGCCAGGCTGGTCCTGTGGGGGCAACGGAGACATGTCTGGGGGCTTGCCTGGCTCCGAGCCCCGCCTCCAGCCAGATACCAAAGCCAGATACAAAGCTGGACAGACAGAGGGAGCACCCAGCAGCTCCCCACTCTGGCTAAAAACATCCATCCAGCAAAAATAAAAAGTCACAGAGCTGAGCATCTGAGGGGGCAGATCCTTGCCCAGCACTGCTGTCCCCAACCCTGGGATGCGGGTCCAGCTGCTTGGGAGACCCTGGCCTCATGCTGCTCATGGTGAGAGATGCCATCACCCTCTGGTCACAGGTCCTGGTGGGTGAGGGAATGGCACTGAAGCCTTTGTGTCTTCCAGCAGCCGACTCTCTGTAGCACCATGAGGGGTAGGGTCCTGCAGCAGGTTTGGTGCCGGGGCTAGCACTCGTCACACAGGGACCGGCCTCAGCTTCCCTGTGGGGAGACGTGTGGGTCGCACAGGGCAGGGGGCATGGCCATCATTGGCCCAGCCCCATTTGTTGGCATTTCAGCAGGTGCTGCATTGGGCTGGCACTGCAAGCATCCCCATGAGCATCCCCGTGAGCGGCACAGCCCAGCATCCCTGCCTGGGAAGCGGGGCCAAAGCAGAGCCCTCCACCGGCTCCCGGCCGCCGGGACTCCCCCGGCAGACATGGCTGCCCCCACTTCAGGCTGGAAATGGA